ACTAAGATTGATAAAATCTAAAAGCCAAAAGTTAACTATGAAATTTATGAATCTAATCTGAAAGGACCCATTTTCAAATGGGTACCTAAAAACAAGTAATTGTTTTACAGATTTGTCATGTGTGGATCTTAGATTCTGGATGTTCAAGACATGTAACAGGGTTCAACCATTTGTTAACAAATTATTAAGAAAGATATGGAGGAAATGTCAACTTTGGAAATAATGGAAAAGGATATGTTAGAGGTCATGAATGCTTACCAATGGAAAAGTCACAATTTTGAAAGTACTCTATGTGGAGGGATTAAAACACAATCTTTTTAGCATAAGTCAATTCTGTGACAAATTGTTTAATGTCCATTTTCATATCAAAGAATGTATTGTCAAAGATCCTGATGGAAATGAAGTTTCATCTGCTCAAAGAGATGGAGGGCTTTATTCTGCCTATTTTCCTACTTTGGATGCATCAAAGACAATATGTTTAACTTCAAAGACCACAAAAGAAGGAGGACGGATTTGGCACAAAAGATTATCTCATCTTAATTTCAAGGCTATTAATTTGTTGGTTAAGAATGATTTGGTCAAAGGGTTACCATCAATGAAAATCGAAAAGGACTCATTATGCTCAACTTGTGAAATGGGAAAAATGAAGAAAAGTTCTCGTAAGATTAAAGTGGAATCTTTTGAAAATTTTCACTTGAAATGTTGCATATGGATCTTTGTAGGCTATTGAGGATTCAGTGTTTGAATGGAAAGAAGTACATGTTTGTGATAGTTGACGAATTTTCAAGATATACATGGGTGGAATTTCTAAGGTAAAAGTCTGATGCATCACAAATAATTGTTTCCTTCATCAAGAAGATTCAAGTCTTATATAGCTTCCTGTTCAAAAGATTAGGAGTGACAATGGAACTAAATTCAAGAATGAAAATTTTCAACAAAATGGAGTTGTAAAAAGGAAGAACAGTACTCTTGTTGAAGCAGCAAGAACGATGCTTGCCTATTTAGACTTGCCTATGTGTTTATTGGCTGAAGCAATTGCATGTTTTACTCAAAATAGAACTATCATAAATAAAAGATGCTTTAAACCTTCTTATGAAATCATTAATAAAAGAAAATATAATATTGTTTTTTTTTTCGTGTTTTTGGTTGCAGATGCTATGTACTTAATGACAGAAATAATCTTGAAATTTTTGACAAGAAAGCTGATGAAGGAATTTTTGTTGGATATTCATTATCTTCAAAAGATTTCAGGGTATATTTAAGAAATCCAAAATCATCATTGAAAGTATCAATGTCAATTATGATGAAAGTGAGGTTCATGACTCAAGCCACAAATAGTAGCTTCTAAATAATTCAGTCCAGAACTTAATCCAAACCAGACTATGACTTCTGAATTTACTTCTAAGTCTAGTAATTCAGAACTTGATTTACTATTTAAAGACTTATTTGATGTATCTCTGGCTATTGTTACAGATTTCAAAATCCAAGTGTTTCCAAAGATATCATCAAACCAACTTCAGAGGAACCAGAGTCAAGTTCAAACATATTTGTACCTGCTCAAGTTGTTGTTTCATTCTCAAGTAATCAAAATATATCTATCTCTAAAGAAGCATCTCATAATTTTGAACATAACTTTAAATAGGTAAATCGAGAGTTATCAATTTTACAGATACATTCAATTGAGGGATAGCAACCGAATGAGGAAATTCAATTATAAATTCATGCCATTATTGATGATAATGATAGTCAAATTAAACATAGTTTAACTCATCCTTTACCAGGCTCATATAGATAGACAAAGGATCATCCTTTACATCAAGTGATTGGAGATGTTTCAAATGGAGTGAAGACCAGATCTACAAACTGCAAATGAATGTTTTTTTTTTGTGAATTATTTAAGCTCGGTTGAACCAAAGAATCCTTCAGAAGCATTGCAAGATCCAGATTGGGTTCTTGCTATGCAAGAAATGTCTACAGTTTCAAAGAAACAAAGTTTGGAGGCTGATTCTAAGACCTGAAGGTAAATCAATAATTGGAACTAAATGAGTCTTTAGAAATAAGAAAGTTGAAGCTGGAATAGTTTTCAGAAACAAAGTTAGACTGGTTGAAAAGGGTTATTGTCAATAAGAAGATGATGAAATATTTGCACCAATTGCAAGAATTGAAGCTATAAGGATCTTTTTGGCCTATGCTACATATAAGAACTTTAAAGTCTATCAAATGGATGTTAAATGTGCATTTCTAAATGGTGTACTTCATGAAGAAGTATATGTGCATCAACCTAGAGGTTTTAAAGATCCTAAGCATCTAGAACATGTCTATGTTTTAGACAAAGCTTTGTATGGACTTAAACAGGCTCCTCGAGCATGTATCAAACTCTGACTAATTTTCTTCTAAAATCTAGTTTCAAGAAAGATACAATTGATACAACTTTATTTCTGAAGAAGCAAGGAGAGGATTTAACCTTGATACAAATTTTATGTGGATGACATAATTTTTAGTTCTACTAATCCAAAATATTGCAAGAATTTTCCAGACATAATGTAGACAAAGTTTGAAATGAGTTTGATGGGTAAACTGAATTTCTTTTTAGGACTTTAGATTAAGCAAACACCTAAAGGAATATTCATAAATCAAGCTAAGTATGTAAGATCTTTTAAGAAAAGATAATACGTTTGATTGTTCTTCAATAAAGACTCCAATAGACATAGGAATTAAACTTGATGCAGATTTAAGTGGAAAATCTGTAGATCAAAAGACTTATAGGGGCATGATTGGATCTTTATTATATTTAACTACTAGTAGACATGATATTATGTTTGCTACATGCTTTTGTTTAAGACATGAAGCTAATCCTAAATAATCTCATCTTGTAGTTGTAAAAAGAATCTTAAGGTATCTTAAAGGCACACCTTGTTTGGGTCTTTGGTATCCTAAGGACTCTGACTTTGATCTAATAACCTCCACTCATGCAGATCATGTCAATTTTTGGAAAATAAGTTGGTTAGTTAGACTTCAAAAAAACAAAATTATGTTTCAACATCAACTGCTGAAGTTGAGTATGTAGCTGCAACAAGCTGTTGTTCACAAGTAATTTGGATGAAGACTCAATATAAGGATTATGGGTACATATTCAACAAAATTCTCATTTATTGTGACTCAAAGAGTGCTACTGCAAACACTTCTAATCCTGATCAACACTCCAAGACAGAAGCACATTGACATAAGGTGTCATTTCATTAAGGATCATGTGGAAAAAAAAAGAATGTTTGAAATGTATTTTGTTCAAACAGACTTTCAGCTTGTAGACTTGTTCGTAAAGCCTCTTGATGAAAAGAGATTTAATTTTTTAGCCAGCAAGTTGAGAATGTTAAATTTGACTACTTGTTTTCAATAATTTCATTAGCTTTATTTATAAATGTGCAAATTTGAATAATCTAAGTATCAAATTCTAAATTAGCTAATTCAGAGTTTCGACAAAGGTTATTTCAGATTTCTGAACCTTTGTTTTCAGATTTATGAAAAATCTATCATATAAATCCGAATACGTTATTTCAGAGTTTTGAAATTATGTTTCCAGATTTATCCATAACTCTGAACATATTAGCTCTGATCAAATTATCTTTTAAGTATGAAAACAATACATTTCCCTGTATATATATTAATATACTTATTATGTCAAGGGGGAATTTTTTAAGAATATTATTCATTTTGATCTATGTTTAAAGGGAGTTAGTCTCTTCAGATCTAAATTTGGAGTAAAGATAACTCTGGATACAGTTTACTCTAACTATCTCAATACTTGGATAACTGTAACTCTGGAATAGTCTAACTCTGGATTTTCAATCTCTTGAAAGAATGACAACTTTCATGATGATAAAATGTGTTTATAAATGTTCAAACCACTTCTTTAATCTTTAAATGTTTTTATGATTCTAAGAAGTTGGATTTTAAATAAATTTCTTTCTCAGAGTTGCTAACACTGAACTTCATTATATTCAGAATTAACACCAACTCGGAATACATCAGAATGCAACTCTGAATACATTGTGGTGAAACTTTGTATAAGAAGTTCCAGATTTATGACTTGGCATTCTAAATTTTTACTTGTGTTAAATTTTTTTGCGACAATAGTTAAAGATAACTATTAAGTCTTCTCATGCCATGTGTCATGTTACTTTTAATTAGTAACTACCATGTCGCTCAGAAGTAAAAAAACCCTTCAGTGGTAATGTACTCTTTTGAAATCTAATTAGGCGGAAATCTCTTGAATTAAAACAAAGTCAGCCACGTGTCATTACATCAAATCGATTCATATTCATTAATTGTTCGATGAATAGATCTTATTGAACAACGGTGTATTCTTTCATGACTTGGTTCTTGTTTAAGCATTCATCAAATTTTCAAGTGCTCGCATTTTCTTGTGACCTAATTGCTCGAATGGCTCAGTCTCACAAATTTACCTAATTGCTCGAATGGCTCAATCTCACAAATTTGCTCTCAAGTCTGCTCATTTATGCTTTGCTGCATCATCTTCTTCTGATTCCGGGGAAGTTAAGAAACCCTCAATCAAGATTGGAGACACTGAAGTACAATTTGCTGAACACCCAACTGTTTATGTTGCTAAAATCCCAATCGTTTCTACCACTAATCAAGGCATCATTGCACCTAGAACCGATTCAGTTGAAGATCCAGAACCAGAAAATAATTAAAGTTAATAAGTTGGTACAATATAATATTACTCTGGTACACTACTTCTAGTACTACATGTTAACCAAGTATAAATAGTTGGTAAGTTAGTACCAATCAATTAGATTGATACTAACTAAATTGATCCTGATTGTTACAAAATTGACACCCATAATAAATGCATCATTGTAATTTACAAAATCTATCGTTAATTTTTATTTGATCGACTCGACAACTCAGGTTTAGTAGCGTTTACCCAAAATATATTTTTGCCGTTGCAGAGCGCAAAATCAATTGTGACAGGACCGCAAATGGAATCCATTCAAACAATCATCAAGACCCTTCTGAGAAATCCGACTCTAATCAAATCCAAATCTGAAGCCAAACAAATCCATGCTCAAATCGTCAAGAGCTTCCCCATACACACATCCAGTCTCCTCTTCATTTATTCTAAACTCAACCTCTTACCCGAATCCCTCCTTCTCTTCAACACACTCCCCACTCCGCCCGTTCTTGCTTGGAAGTCTATCATAAAATGCTATTCTTCCAACGGCTATTTCTTAGAGTCTTTGAATTGTTTCGTCAAAATGCGAGGTCTGGGAATCAACCATGATCACAATGTGTTCCCTTCCGTCTTAAAATCTTGCACCCATTTGATGTATTTCAAGTTTGGGAAGTCTGTTCATGCTTGTGTTATTAGGGTTGGACTCGAATTCGATATTTTTATAGGAAATGCGTTGTTGAGTATGTACTCTAAGGTGCAGAGGTTTAGTGCTCTAGAGGTGTTTGATGAAAGTCCTGGGAGAATGACAGCTGATCAAAATGAGAGTATATTTGTTAGCGATCACAATAATAATAATTTTTACCACAAAGTTAGTGAATTCGATAAAAATCTGGGTATTTTGAATCAAATTAGTGATCAAGAGGAGACAGTTGATGAAATAATGCGTTGGAAAAACAAAGAAGGGGATGTGCGAATGCGAAGTGTGAGAAAAGTTTTTGAAACTATGCCGGAGCGAGATATTGTTTCATATAACACCGTCATTTTGGGATATGCCCAAAGCAACATGTACAATGAAGCTTTGATGATGATTAAGGAGATGGGTAGAGCTAACTTGAAGCCGGATGCATTTACTTTATCAAATGTTCTTCCGATTGTTGCAGAATATATGGATATCTGGAAGGGAAAGGAGATCCATGGGTATGGAGTTAGGCATGGTTTTCATAGAAATGAGTTCATTGTAAGTGGATTGACTGATGTTTATGCGAACTGTAACATGGTGGAAGATTCATATCGGCTATTTTCTTCGCTGTCTAAAAAAGACTCGGTTTCATGGTGCTCTATTATTGCAGCATGTGTACAAAATGGTCTATTTGATGAGGGATTAAGATTGTTTAGGCAAATGTTAAGTGTTAATATTAAGCCTGTCCCAATTTCATTTTCCAGCATTATTCCTGCTTGTGCACACTTAACCGCACTTCCTTTAGGACAGCAACTCCATGGATACATAATAAGGGGTTACTTTGAAGATAATATGTATATAGCTAGCTCACTTGTTCACATGTATGCTAGATGTGGGAACATTAAACTTGCTATGAGGATTTTTGATAACATGAAGCAACATGATTTGGTGTCATGGACTGCTATGATGATGGAATTTGCGTTGCATGGCCATGCATATGATGCCATATCCTTATTTGAGCAGATGGAGAAGGAAGGATTTAGACCCAATTCTGTGGCTTTTGTGGCTGTTTTGACTGCTTGTAGTCATGCAGGAATGGTGAATGAAGGTTTGAAGTTTTTTAACAAAATGGTAAAACAGTATAAGATAACTCCTGATTTTGAGCACTATGCTTGTATGGCAGATCTTTTGGGTAGGGCTGGAAAATTGGAGGAAGCTTTTGGGTTCATTTGCAGCATGCCAGAAAATAAAACAGCCAGCATGTGGTTACCTTTGTTAGCCGCCTGTAGGGTCCACAAGAATGTCGAATTGGCTGAAAAGGTTTCCATGCAAATATGTGAATTTGATACTGAGAACGCTGGTGCCGATCTTCTGTTATCAGATACATATTCTTCCGTTGGAAGATATAAAGATGCAGCGAATGTGAGAAGAATGTTGAGTAAGGTAGCTACTAGAAAGAAACCAGCTTGTAGCTGGATAAGAATTGGGAACAAAGTACATGCTTTCATTGCTGGGGATGAATCTCACCCTTATAATGATGGAATAATAAATGCATTGGAAATTCTTTCAGGACAGACAGAAAAGGAAGGATATGTTGCAAATTGAGGTGCTGTTTGTTTATTTTTTTCATTAAGCCCTGTATGGATAAAGGTGGATTGTTCTTTGTTTGTTGTGATGAATAAACTATTGAGATGAAATGACCATTTTACCCCTTGTTGTTTGTTCATCAGAACTTTTGCTAAATGATGATTTTGCGATGTTGAACTACCTGCAATTGAGTTTGGAATCATCAGGACTCTTGCTGGCATGCGTATTCATGTGAAAGAGAATCATAAGGTATATCTGGATTGCTACTATGCACCTTAGTTTGTACCAAAGATTGTCATACAATAGAGAGATATTGGAGAGACAACAACTGTCTTGATCATTTCAAGGACAAAAAGTGTTCATATGGAGATTTTTGGTCTCAAGAGTTTTTCAACTTAGTCGTTGAAAATTTGACATATCAAGAGACGGACCTAGAAATGTTTTCAAGTGGTGGCACCATTTGACAATAAGAAACAAATATATGTATATTTTTCACATAATTATCATTGGTGTGTTGGTTAGTTCATTGCTTTTCATAATTGAGGTCCTGGGTCAAGTTTTTTATTGCAAATCTTTTTCAGAAACGAAATAAATCTGAAATTAAAATCTAAAAACTAAGAAAATGAGACCAACAAGATTCGAACTCGGGTATGGGATGGAAGAAAAACCTTGCAAACCAACTCTACCAAGGGAAATTTGTGTTCTCATTGTAGTTTCAAAATATATACAGTAGCACACAACAAATTGATACAGTGGCACTTTTCACGACCCTATAATTTTTTACATTACGACGGAGGAACATAGTGGTGGCCCGTGCCACCATATCTAATATAGTGGTCGGTCCTGTATTCCATATTTTCTGCAAAAGAAGGTACACTATTGAATTTTGAGGTCAAATGAACTACTGTTCACATTTAAACCTGGTTGGAGTTTGTTGCATAGTTAGAACCATTATTTTCAATTTGGATTCCTCTTTTTGTGTTAAAGTTCAATTTGGCAATCAATCTTTTCTTAAAATGTGCAGAATATAGAACAATTATTAAGTGAACAAGAAGTTCATTAGATCTCGACTTTAAATTTACGTCTTTTTTTAAGAAAAGGTGTATCATATTGATGTAGGCCTAGTGTTTCCATTGTTACAATATTGTATTGTTTTAATATTATGGCACAATTGAGTACAAACGTCAAAATGATCATGTTAGATTTAACTCTTAAGGGATCCGTATTCATGCAGGCATTCCAGCTAGGATGTCTTTTGCTAGCAGTTAAAGAACTCTGAAAGACTATGAGATTAACAATCTCTTATGACACCGGAGGCTCAAATATGATTGTTCTCTTGCATTCCTCCTCCAAGGTGCATTTGGGATACAAAACCTCATTCCTCCTCCAAGGTGCATTTAGCTTCTCCAAATGACATTGGTATCTCTGCCTCTCTGCTTATCAAGATCAGGGCTACATAGCTGGGAAAATATCAGTAAAATGTTGAACAAGACCCTTATTCTTGGTGTTTTCAAGAACCATATAAGATATCCCTTAGACTAAGGGGCCATTTACCTAAGCGCTTACCGGTAAAAATAAACATTTTCACTTACCTTACCATGTAAGATTCTAATCCATTAAAACGGAGTCGTATGCAACAATTTATTCGATAAGCACTAACCGGACAAGAGTCGTCACCCTCACTTACCGGGTAACACTCTTGGCCCTTGTCATTGCTCTTACCAAGTAAGATTCTCGTTCATTGCCATGTTCATCCGGTAAGGCAAAGGGACCCGGTAAGCGCTTATCCGGTACGCGCTTATCGGGTAAGCATTTAGTAAACGGCCCCTAAGTAATTCTGTGCCTCTCTTTGATTTCCCATCTTCTTGGCAGTTGCTAACTTGCTTCTCCTTGAATCACCGGTGCTTATGAACTACTTTCCCTCTAATACTTTTCATCTTTTTGTTACATTGGAGAGGATGAGATCCAAACACTCCACCTTGCAGGTAAAGGAGAGGCCTAATTATTAGGTTATCACCTTGATCTCATGCCCTTGCCAGCTAAGTTACTGGTGAACTTGTATTCCTTACCCTCAAATAACCATAAACGACTTATATTTAGGAACCCTTTGGTAAAGAAATAGTACACATAGGATCGGACTCTAGCAGAAGAAAAAGAAATGGACAATCTCTTCTATTTATAATAAAATAGAAGATAGAGCAAGCCAAGAACTACTGTAGGAAGTAATGAAATCTAGTCTTCTAACTTTGTGATTTTTGTCATGGACAGATCAGAAAAGGACTATATAAAGGTTTGGTTAGGCTTCAAATCACAGTTTCACCTGTTCGTAACTAGCCAAGCATTCTCAAAAGAGATGAATAAGACAGGATATATTCCAGCAAATTATGCAGGAGGACTGTCATGACGAGGATGACACACCCAATCATAATCTACTAAATGGAAGTAGCCAGATATTGCTTTTATTCCAATTCATGAGCATTGAGCACATGGGTAGTGAAGCAATTCTAAGGTACTTATTTTTTTTATTTACATAAGCAATCTTGCATTTTCGTGTAGTTTGCCATGTACTCATTTCAAGATTGCATGGTGTTTATAGTTCACTTTGCGAACTATATTTAGGTTTTGCCGGCGTGTTAGCATAGGTGAACTGGAGCACGCTCTTAGGGAGATGGGGAAGGGTAAGGCCGTAGGCCAGGACTAAATCCCCATTTAGATGTGGCGATTTTAGGGGAGGCAGGTGTGAGCGGCTAACAAAGCTCTTCAATGTCATCCTCAACACTACTAGGATGCCCGAAGAGGGGAGGTTTAGCATGCTGGTGCCACTGTATAAGAACAAAGATGACGCTCGGTGTTGTGGAAACTATCGCGGCACAAAGCTACTTAGTCACACAATGAAATTGTGGGAGTGGGTGATAGAGACAAGGGTGAGGCAAAATGGAGGTAATGGAAAACCAATTTGGCTTTATCTCAGGGAGGTTGAAAATAGAGGCAATCCATCTACTCATGCGACTAATGGAAAAGTATCGGGAGTGTAGTAAGGACCTTTACATGGTGTTCATAGACCTGGAGAAGGCCTATGATAGGGTACCACGAGGGCGTGATCTAGAGGAGCCTGGAGAAGATGGATAAGGCCTATGATAGGGTACCACTGGACATGATCTAGAGGCACGTGAAGAAGATGGAGAAGGCCTATGATAGGGTACCACGGGACATGCTCTAGAGGAGCCTGGAGAAGACGGGGTACCTTGGAGAAATGTTACAAGACATATGCAAGGGAATGAGGACTAGTGTTAGGACACCCGTGGTGAGGTAGAGTATTTCTCGGTAGAGATAGGCCTACACCAGGGATTGGTGCTAAGCCCTTTTCTCTTTGCTATTATTTTGGAGATCTCCCGGTGGATTCAACGGAGTTTTCCACGGTATATGTTGTTTGCTGACGACATTGTGTTGGTAGCGGAGTTGAAAGTAGAGGTCATTGCAAGGTTGGAGCAGTGGAGGGTGGATCTGGAAATTGAAGATTTCCGGATTAGTCGTTCTAAAACAGAATCTATACTATCTTATAATGCATTTAGGTAAAAACTCTAGAAGACAAAGACAATTCACAGCGCACAAAGTACTATCATTTTATACGATAAGTTTAAAGAACTATGAATTACAAGAGAAAAAGCATAATGTACACCTTGTTAATGCAATACAAACAACACCACCCAAGTTGAAACTTCGAGGCTTACTTTCTTACTTCCGGCCTTTTTCCTTTCCATTTCCGGCTTTCTTCTTGAGACTCAATACTACGATTCCCGCTCCCAAGTCCCATTACAACAATTCCCGCTCAGATTGATGTGCATATTCAAATTTCAAACCTTCTACATATGTTGCTAACCCACATTCTCCTTCCCTATTATTCTTCTTCAACTTCAAAGTTAGGGTTTCAATAACTCTGTCTCCATCTCACGATTTTGATCTGGTAAGATGATCTCCATCTTCTATTTGCCTATGATGTGTTCAAATTATTTGTGTGACCTTGATTTGTTTGTCCAAACTTATTGTCTTTGTGTGACCTTAGCCTAGTCATTTGGTTCTTCATTTTGCAAAAAATTTGATCGGTTACCGAATAGATATGGAATTATTAATATCAGAGCTTCTAAGGGTAATCAATTTCACTCTTTGACTTCTAATACCAGTTTCAATTTAATATTTGTTTTCAACGATTTACATCCATCATATTTTTTCGAAGTTTTGATTTTTGATTTTAGACAATCGATTTCAGAGAGAATTTACATCCATCATTTTACTTGCATTGGTTATTTCGTGTTTGTTGATAGTCCTCAAAGAACATATTCTAATTTTTCAAACCCACATTGGACACCAAGGTGGATTCTTTATCATTTAACAACCATTGGACTACAACATAACAACCATTAGACCAAAGGGTCTTTGGCCTAGCAATATGTGAGTTCTTGATCTCTTAGTAGGTCAGGGGTTCAAACCTCACCAAAAGTGAGGAGGATGTCTAAGTTTTTTTGTTTTATTTGCCGTATATAAATATTATATATTTCAATAAAACATAACAACCATTAGATTGTGTTGTTTCAGGAACCGGCTGATCTGAATAAGTAGATAATGTTGCTATGAGGTAAATCATCATGCCCGTCCCTTGGGCTGTTAAATCTGCGATCTAGAACAGGCCCCCAAAATTTTGGGGCCCAAATTTCACACCCGTTTGGGCCCGGTTTATAACTCGCTTCGACGCTTCCTCTATTCGACCGATCAAAATGGAGAAACCAGTAACGACGCTTCGATCTCTTCCTTTATCTATCCTAATTCATAGTCATCGATTTTCGATTGAAATCTCCAAAGGGCTCAAAAATACAAAGATGGCTAATGATTTGGTTTCAGATACGCAATGACAACGACAAAAAGGTGAGGTAAATTCCATTCCAGCATCCCTTTTTCAAGTTTTTTTGTTTTTCATATTGATTGTTAATTTGCTAGCGTAGTGAACTGGAAACACGATATGT